TGGTATATTCTTGTCAGAGTAGCATTAGGTAACTAGAACAGCCACTGATAATTTGTAATCTAAAATAGTTAATAAAGAAATATTTATAGTAATTATTGATATTCAGCAACATATTTAGCACTTACTGAAATGAGTAAGTATAATTATGAATCTCTAGATAAGATTGTTTCAAAAACTGTTCATAAATTTAACTGGCCGAGTCTTCAATTTTTCTAGATAAGGGATGGCAAATTGGTTCCATTCCTTGTCTGAATTCAGTGTCTGTTCACTGTACTGGAAAAGGATTCTGAGATTACATCTGGAATCTAATGGAAATAGTACTATGATTCAGAGACAGTGTCTGCCATGGATATAAATTTATACATAAAACACCAACATAAATAAGAATCCTTCCTATATGGAGCTAACTTTAAAATTAACCTGACTACCCAAAATAATATAATTTCACACTACTTATGCAGGTAACTTGTTGATAAGTGCCATCGATTTGGCACCAAATCACAGCAACCCTATGTACAATAGGGTTGCCCAGTCCTTCACCATCCTCACAGTCCCTGCTACGCTTGAGCCCATCATTACGGCCACTGTCAATCTTTGTCATTGAAGGTCTTCCCCTTTGATCATTGATCCTCTACTTTACCACACATAATATCCTTCTCTAGGGACCGATGCTTCTGACAACATGACCAATAGTCTTATGTACATAAAACTAAGTCTGGCCATTCTCATTTCTAAGAAGCATTCCAGCTGCCACTTCTTCCAGGACAGATTTATTCATTCCTCTGGCAGTCCAAGGTATTTCAAGTATTCTTCAACACCACAATTAAAAGGCATCAATACTTTTTTGGTTTTCTGTATTCACTGTCCAGCTGTCACATGCACATGAGGCGACTGAAAACACCATACCTTGTGTTACGCGTACCTTAGTTTTCAGAATGACACCTTTGCTTCTTAACACTTTAGAGAGGTCTTTTGCAGCAGATTTGCCCAGTGCAATACATCATCTGATTTCCTGACTGTTGCATCCATGGGTGTTGATTATGGATTCAGTAAAATTAAATCCCTGCAACTTTAATCTTTTCTCCATTTATAGTGATGTTGGTTATTGGTTCAGTTGTGGAGTTTTGTTTTTTTTCCCCCTTTATGTTGCAGTGTATCCAGATTGATGACTATAGTCTTTGACCTTCATTAACAAGTGCTTCAAGTCATCTTCACTTTCAGCCAGCAAGGTTGTGTCAGCTACATATCACAGGTTGTTAACCAGTCTTCTGCCGATTCTGATGCTGTGTTCTTCTTCATATAATCCATCTTTTTGGATTATCTGCTCAGTATACAGGTTGAATAAGTGGTGAAAGGATACAACCCTGATGCACACTTTCCCTGATTTTAAACCATGCAGTATCCCCTTGTTCTGTTTGAATGACAGCCTCTTGGGCTATGTAGAGGTCCCTCACAAGAACATTTAAGCATTCTGGAATTCCTATTCTTTGCAATGTTATCCATAATTTGTTATGATCCACACAGTTAAATGCCTTCGCAAAGTCAATAAAACACAAGTAACATCTTTCTGGTATTCTTTGCTTTCAGCCAAGATCCATCTGACATCAGCAATGATAGTTTTCATTCCATGTCCTCTTCTGGATCCAGATTTCTGAAGTTCCCTGTCAATATACTGTTGCAATTATTTTTATAGTATGTTCAGCAAAATTTTACTTGCAAGTGATATTAATGATACTGTTTGATAATTTCCACATTCTGTTGGATCATGTTTCTTTCGAATGGGCACAAATATGGATCTCTTCCCATCAGCTGGCCAGGTAGCTGCCTTCCAAATTTCTTGGCACAAATGACTAAGTATCTCCAGAGCTGCATCCACTTGTTGAAACATCTTAATGAGTATCCCATCAATTCCTGGGGCCTTGTTTTTCACCAATTCCTTCAATGCAGCTTAGACTTCTTCCCTCAGTACCATCAGTTCTTGATCATATGCTATCTTCTGAAATGGCTGAACATTGACCAATTCTTTTTGGTAGTCACTCTGTATATTCCTTCCATCTTTTTCTGAGGCTTCCGGCTTACTTAATATTTTGCCCACAGAATCTTTCAAATACTCTGATTCAAGGCTTGAACTTTTTCTTCCACTCCTTCAGCTTGAGAAATGCTGTGTGTTCTTCCCTTTTGGTTCTCTAACTCCAAGTCTTTGCACATTTCATTATAATACTTTGTTTTCTTGAGCTACTCTTTGGAATCTTCTGTTCAGTTCTTTTATTTCTTCCATTTGCTTTAGGTACTCTCCATTCAAGAGCAAGTTTCAGAGTATCTTGTGATAACCATTTTGGTTTTCTTTTCCTGTCTTTTTAATGACCTTCTTCTGCCTTCTTCATGTATGATGTTCTTAATGTCATCCTACAACTCATCTGGTTTTCGGTCATTGGTGTTCAAATGAGTCAAATTTATTCTTCAGATGGTCTCTAAATTCAGGTGGGATGTCATCAAGGTCGTATTTTGGCTCTCATGCATTTGTTTTAATATTTTTCAGCTTCAACTTGAACTTGCATATGAGCAATCAATTCTCTGTTCCACAGTCAGCAACCAGTCTTATTTTGACTGATACTGAAGTTCTCCATTACCTCTTTACACAGATGTAGTCATTTTGACTCCTGTGCATTCCATCTAGGAGATTAACGTTCATAAGTCACTGTTCACATTGTTGAAAAAAGGTATTTGCAATGAATAAGTCATTGGTTTGCAAAATTCTATCATGCAATCTTTGGCATTATTTTTATCACCAAGGCCATATTTTCCAACTACCGAAATGGCTTCATTTCCAACTTATATGTTCCAATCACCAGGAATTATCAATGCATGTTTGGTCATTTTCAGATTGCATAAGCTGGTAAAAAATCTTCAATTTCTTCATCTTTGGCTTTAGTCATTGATTGTAAACTTGAACAATAGTAGTATTAACTTGTCTTCCTTGTATGGGTATGGATATTATCCTATCACTGACAGCACTGTACTTCAGATCTTGAGATATTCTTTTTGGCAATGAATGCAACACCACTCCTCTTCAATTTGTCATTCCTGGTATCAAATGGTATTACCTGATTCAAAATGGCCAATACTAGTCCATTTCACCTCACTAACGCCTAGGATTGATAACATCAATCCTTATGTGTTCCATTTCATTTTTGACAACTTCCAATTTTCCTAGATGCATACTCTGTACATTCCATATTCCAATTATTAATGAGTATTTGCAACTGCTTCTTTTCATTTTGACTCATACCCCATTAGCAAATGAAGTTCCTGAAAGCCTAACTCCATCTATGTTATTAAGGTCGACTTTACTTTTAGGAGGGAGCTCTGGTGGCATAGGACCAATGGCATCTGACTGCTAACCAGAAGGCTGGAGGTTCAAATCCACCAGCTACTCCTCAGAAGGAAGACTGGGCAATCTACTTCCAAAGAGATACCACCTCAGAAACCCAGGGAGGGGTTGCTATCAGTCAGATTTGACTCAATGGCAGTGAGTCTGGGTTTTTTTTTTTTTGGTTTTACTTTAAGGAGGCAGCTCTTCCCCAATCATATTCTGAGTGCTTTCAAACTTGAAGGGCTCATCTTCCGGCCCTATATGAGACAATGTTTCACAGCTATTCAAAGTTTTCCAGTAATATATCAGACAGTGTTTCACTGCTATTCATAAGGTTTTCAGGGACCAGTTTTTTCAGAAGTAGATGGCTCTGTCCTTCTTCCCAGTCTTAGTTTCGAAACTCCAGTGAAACCTGTCCTCCATGGGTGACCCTGCTGGTACGAGATATCAGTGGCATAGCTTCCAACCTCATAGCAACACACAAGCCACCACAGTACAATAAACTGACAGACGAGTCATGGTCTAGGTAACTATTTCTTCCTTATCACAGCCAAAATCCTCCTACCAGAAATCTTTACTCATCAGTACAAGTTCTGTCACTCTGAAGCCACATAAATTACTAATATAGTGTTCTCATCTGATCCTCATATTAACCATAGTTGTAGTTATTAAACCAATAAAAAGCATTTCACATATTTGAACTAATTTAAAAAATATAATATGAATGTTTTTACCTTTATCTCTCTAGATAAGGACTGAACTTCAGTGGATAATTCCACTGTCTGCTCCTCTAGTTGCTGACGACGTTGCAAGTTAGTAGATATTTGAAGTTTCTCTGATTTCAGTTCATTTGCTATACTCTTTAGGTGTTGAATCTGTTCCTGCTGGTCCTGTATAAGCTTACGATTCAATTCAATCTTGCTGGAAACTGAACAAAGACATATTGACAAAATGATTAATGTAAGGATACAGAAAATACTATGAGTAGCATAAATCTAGTTTTTATAGGTCTATAGAATCCCGAAAGATTGAGTTTCCAGGTCTCACCCACTGCAACAAAATGCAACCAAAACCTCTCAAGCTTTAAACCTGCTTGCTGTCCCATCCTGTCCACTCAGAGGTGAGGCCCAGAGAGCAGGTATGGTTGAGAAAGGGTATTGCCCATCCAATACACTCCCATCACGCAGCTGCTGTGCAAGCACGGAAACAAAGAGAAGTATGGTTTTTGAGTAAAGAGAGTGAATATACTGTGGACCGGAAGGCAGAAAAAACAGTTCCTTGTCCATGTAATAAGCATACAATTTGCAAGAAGTATGTACTGGGAATGGTAAAGTCTTTATGGGTACATGTGGAAATGGACTTTATTACCTGTATCTAATTTGTGTTGTTTTTCTTGTTTTTCCTGGTTTACTTGTTGAACAGTTCGATCTAAGTCTATTCCTTGTAGCTTAGCTGCTTGCTGTGCAATCTTTCTTTCAACATCTTTAAGTTCCATCTTAAGAATATAACAAAGTATGTTCTTTGAGAAACTTAGTACATTATCATTATTAAAATCTTTAAAAACTGTTATTATGAATTATTTTTTAAACTATAAACTTATGTTTCTAGATATAATCTTAGCAAAGTTTAATTGAATAAAAATGAAATTAATTTTTAGTAATTCATATAATGTAAATAAAAAGATATAAAATAAAAATGAAAACCAAACATTATTTCTTAAATTCCACAATTTGTGAATAAAAAATCTGAAGCTCAGAAATGAAAACTAAGCAACTGGTCCCTGAGAACACCTGAAATAAAATCTATACCAACGTACTAGCTACTGTTTCTAATACCTTTCCATTCAAATCACTATGGAAAAGTATTTTTTTCCTATGCCTTAAACTACACTAAACTTACCTGCAGCCTCTCCATAATTGTAACATCTGTCAGACACACTTTAGCACTTTCTTCTTCAGGCATTATTGCACCCAAGAGTGTTTCCTGTTCTTCTATGTCATTCTTTAGGCGCTGTATGTCTCTATTGACATTCTGCAGTTTGTTTCTCAGTTCTGGTATTTCCTTCTCCTTCAAATCAACTATGCTTTGCCTTATCAGAAAATACATAATTAAAAATAAGTTATCTGATGTACCTGAGGCAGATATACTCCTTGGAGAGAACAATCATGGGAGAAAGAAGGGTTGTTTATGCACAAGGAGACAGTTCAAGGTGCAGGAGTACATGGAGGGATGGACACAAGGAAGAGGTAACTATCAGGAGGAAGTGGGAGGGGAGCTGTTACATTGGGGTAAACTGTAGTCAATGTCATGAGACAACATGTGTGTGAACTGCTGTATGGAAACTCAATTTGCTCTGTAAACTTTCACCCAAATCACAATTAAAAAAAAAAAAAAAAGTTATCTGATGTTTTCTCAGAGTTAGATTGAGGTTATACATTTCTGGCAAGAAAACCATAGAAGTGATGTTATATCTCTCTCAGGGCATCATATCAGTGGATAACTGATGTCAGTATGTTTTATTACTGGTGATACTAATAATATTCATCTAATTAAGATGGTGTCAGGCTGCTTTCTCCACTGTAAAGTTACTACTTTTCTCTTTGAAATAAATATATATCTCAGAAGAGATACTTTGAAACTCTGCAAATATCCTGTTTCTCCTAAAACTTTTGCCCACGTATTTTAACATCTATTAGATCTTGCTTGAAATAATTCTTCCTGTGGTATCTGCCAAACTAATGGATTTTCTACAAATTAACTGCCCATACTAATCAAGTGTCATGGTCATGAAAGACAAAGAACAATGAAAAAACTGTTACAGATTACAAGAGCCTGAGAAGAAATAACAACTAAATGCAATATGAGATTTTGGATTGGGTCCTGAAATAGAAAAAGGACTTTAACAGAAAAACTGGTGAAATCTGAGTGAGGTCTGTGGGTTTCATTAACAGTATTATACCAATAGTTACTTTTCCTGCTTTTTGTAGTTGTATTATAGTTACATAAATTGTTAACATCAGGAGAAGCTGGGTGAAGAATATACGTGAATTCTCTATACTATTTTTTCATTTTTCTGTAAGTCTATAAATTACTTCAAAATACAAAAGTTAACTAAAATGTATTATTTAATAACCTAGTTAGACAAATGCTACAATACTTTGGTTTAAGGCACAAAAACTGACAAACTCAAGCTAATGAATTACGTCCTTTGTAGCAGCTGGCCCCACACTTATTCATGCTCACACTTTCTGAAGCAATTTTTTTTTTTAAAGACACATAATTTAAGACCAACTTCTAGTCTAAACCAAACCAGACTCACTGCTGTCAAGTTGGATCCAACTCATAGCGACCCCTCCTTGGGTTTCCAAGGCTGTATCACTATGGAAGTTGATTGTCTAATCTTCCTTCCGAAGAGTGGCTGGGTTTGAACCGCCAGCCTTCTAGTTAGCAGTCAAATGCCTTAGGCACTACACCATCAGAGCTCCCAATTATGTGCCTAGTACCTAAAAAGCGACACAGCTCTAACATGATAGCTCAATGACAGCTAGCATTCACTTAGGAATCACAGGACTGAAGACAACTTTAGGGAGAAATATAGGCATCCTTAGAATTTTATTTCTACATTTTCATATACACATACAAAAAAACCTTCATCAATATGGTCCTAGTTTTGGTGCCCTCTTTTTGAATACTTATCTAAGATGCCAAAAATAACTATTTAAGATAAAAGAAATTCCCAGAGAGAATGGGCTACCTGGAATCTATTAGTTTTGTTTTTTGTTTTTTTTTCCCCCCCACAGAAACTCAATTCACTTATTTTTGTGATAACATTCCTTCTCTAAGGGGATTGTGTGTAAAAGGACCCAACACAGATGATAATGAAAAAAACTTCTGGGAGGAATAGGGGAAACTACTAAGTTTTAGTTAAATGAGGTGTTAAAATATAAGTACTAAGCAAAATGGTGAAAACATGTATTTTCAGCTGAGATTTCATTCACAATGGTGGTCTCCTATTAAGTGCTAATAAATTTTCATCTTAAATAAAAATATTATTTTGCCCAAAGAGGGTAAGTAAGATCTGGCTCACTACTACCTCTGTGAGGTCGTCTTCGCCTACTTTTCCCTTTGGCCTTCAGGCCAAACGTGCTTCAGGGACTTTGTACTGCCCGGAATGCTCTTCTCCTAGACAAATGCATGGCTGACTTCCTCACCTCTCTCAGGTTTCTGCTTTAATGCCACTTTCACAGCAACTCCCCTATCACCATCCCCCAGGCACCCCATTTACTTACCCTGCTTCCTGCCTTACGATTATCATCTGATATACTATACGTTTACTTGTTTGTTCCTGTGGTCCTCACCACTCCCCTCCCACCTCACTGAAGCATGAAGGCTGACTGTCTACTTTGTTTACTGCTGTATTACAAGCACCCTAACAGAATGCCTATTAAACATTGGTTGAACAAACAGACAGTTCTCACGACAGTGGTGCATCAAAGGTACATTTTATAGGTGAAAAGACAAGCGGTACCTTGATAAATATAACCTTCCTTGTTACTTTATCCCTATTTACTAATAGTAACTCTCCTCAGAGTAGCTTTCATAAATAGACCTGTACATGGTATTTCTGATAGTGACCCTAAGGATATATGACAGTAGTGACCTATATTACAACCAGCATTGGAACGAAGCTTAATGATCATCTAAGTCAACCCCTTTACATGGGGGAAACTAAGGTCTAGATGAGTTAAATGACATGTCTAAGGTCACTTGGGAGCTCTGGTGGCATAGTGCCCATGGCATCTGACTGCTAACCAGAAGGCTGGTGGTTCAAACTCATTATCCACTCCTCGGAATGAAGACTGGGCAATCTACTTCTGTAATGATATGGCCTTGGAAACCCAAGGAGGGGTTGCTGCTGTGAGTCACAACTGATTCGATGGCAGTGAGTTTTTAGAGTTTTAAGGTCACCCAACAGAACTAGAATTAGAAATCAGTTTCACTATACACCTAGACCACTGCTTTCCCACTTTAAAAAAAAAAAAATAAAGCCTCTGTTATTAATTCATTATTGACCTTTCATGGGGGAGGAAGGAAAATGAACTTGTGTGAGCAGAAGTCACAGTACCTTATATAACCAAAGTCTGAAAGGGACACAACATCACTTCTGCTGTATTCTTACTGGTTAAACATATCAACCCTGGAACAATGTGGGAAAGACTATATAAGAGTCTAAGTATCAAGAGAGATGGATAACTGGGGGCCATCCTGGAGCCTAGCAACCACAAAGCACTTCTTCTCAGACCCTGAAACTTCTTGTTCTTCCAGGACAACACACTTTCCTGGTTTTTTGCTTCCAGACTTTTTCTCACCCTGATCCACTAAAATTCTCTTAAAACATATCTTTCATCAAGTTTCTTAGGACAGCTCCTTATCACGTATCACAGAGTGCTGTAAGTAGGCCTGAACATAATGTGGCTCTAACGCCTAACTTTTGAGAATCAATCCCTACAAATAACTTACTCAAATTCCAGGTAATATTACTGTAGCACAGGTCCCACTCCCCTTCCTTTTGCACACACTGATCTGACTTTCTCCTCCCTTTTCCTTTTATCTGATCTGGACCAACTTCTCTATGCTTTACATTCCCCCTTCTTCATTCTTAAGTCTTTTTCTCAGTCTATAGCCCACTGGCCTCTCTCTTCTTAATATATTTGTTTGAATCAATGAAGCACTTCCTAAGCTTAGCTTTCTAATGTCTGATTCTAAGAGCTTGTCTCCTTAATATACCATTAGCTTCTTGACGGTCATGTTTTATTGGCTTCCATGACCAGCCTTGTGCTCTCTGTTCTGAGAGACACCAAGGCAATCATTATATACTTTCTGCTTGATTTTATTTATAAATAGACCATCATTTGAATTTCTTGTACAAGTAAGAGAAAATATAAATAATAAAATTCATCTATGAATCATTCTCTTTGAAAGAGGAAAAGACATAAAAATATAGTTTAAAATGTCTGTTGGGAGAGTAGGAGCTCTGGTGGTATAGTGCCTAAGGCACTTGACTGGTAACCAGAAGGATCAAACCTACCAGCCACTCCTTGGAAGAATGGTTGGGCAATGTACTTCCGTAGTGATACTGCCTTGGAAACCCAAGGAGGTGTTGCTAGGAGTCGGATCCGACTTGATGGCAGTAAATTTGGCTTGGTATGGTTTGGCTTGGTTTTGGGAGAACATTTCAGTACTTTAATTCTTTTGCTAAGTTTTAAAGTGCTATATCAGCAAAGGCTTCTAAATGTCAAAATTTATGCCCTCAGGACAAGTCTTAGGAATTAAACAAATTCTGTCCCATAACTAGTTTAAGAAATAAACTTACCTTTAATGTTTCTCATCATATAAATAGCAAAATTAGATATATCATATTGGCTCAGAATCCTGAACTTTTTTTATTCATTCAATACATCCTTTCTGAGTATCTACCATGTACTAGGCACTGAATAGGTACAGCAACAGTAAAGTCCTATTCTCACCTCATGGGCACAAGTCCCAGCATTTCATCACGGCGCTTTTCTTTTTTCTTTAGGTCTGATTCTGTTGATTTAAGTTTATCTGGAGCAAGCCGCAGCTTAGATTGCAAATCACTGATGACTTCTTGTAATTCAGCCTCTGTTTGAAAAACTCTCTGACATACAGGGCAACATGACTGGTTTTCATCTGTTAGCTGAGTGATGAACTGGGAGTAAACTGCTGTGGCTCCAGCCAACATGGCTATTTAAAAAAATATATATATACTTCCAGTGAGAATATAAAAGAATTTTATCAATATGGTTACATCATTTTCTGTAAATATATGATTATTATTCTTGCTTTATAAACATATTATAAAAGAAACCAATTTCTCTGATATTTAAATCTTCTTCTAAAAGGTACAGGGAACTCTGGTGGCATAGTGCCTAACCAGAAGGCTGGCAGTTCACACCCACCAGCCACTCCTCAGAAGGAAGACTGGGCAATCTACTTCTGTAGAGATATCGCCTTGGAAACCCAAGTAGGTGTTGCCATGAGTCGGCATTAACTCGACAGCAGTGACTTTGGTTTTTAATTTTCTAAAAGGTATAATACACTCAAATTTGTATAAATTTTTTTTTTGTTAACACAAATAAAATGTAACAAAATTCAACATTTAAGAGCTTACTATGTTCTAGGCATTGTTTTAAGTGCTTTACACCTATAATCTCATTTATTCCTCCCTTAAAAAAAAAGAAGAAAAAAAACCCACTGCCATCAAGTCAATTCCAACTCATAATGACCCCCATTGGGTTTACAAGGCTGTAAATCTTTACAGAGGTAGATTGCCTCATCTTCCTCCTGCAGAGCAGCTGGTGGATTTTAACCACCAACCTTCTGGTTAGCAGTGAGATGCCTTACCCAATGCACCATCAGAGCACCTTTATTCCTCCCTCAAACCAAACCAATCTCTCTGCCGTCGAGTCGAACCTGACTCACAGCAACCCTTCGTTGGGTTTCCGAGGCTTTATCACTATGAAAGTAGATTTCCCAACCTTCTTTCTGAGGAGTAGCTGCTGGGTTTGAACTGCCAGCCTTCTGGTTAGCAGTCAAATGCCTTAGGCACTATGCTACCAGAGCTTCTTAGTGCCTTGAAAACCAAGGTGATTCCAAGTCATGGGGACTCTGTATGTGTCAGAGTAGAACTGTGCTCTATACGGTTTGCAATGATTAAGTTCTTCAAAGTAAATCACCAGGCCATTTTTCCACGGTGCCTCTGGGTAAACTGGAACCTTCAGCTTTTCAATTATCAGCTGAGCATGCTAACAGTCTGCACCATCCAGGGACTCCCTAATACGTTGGGTAGTAAGTAGGTGATACTGTCCTCATTTTACACATGATGAATCTAAATATAGGAAGGTTTCAATAATTTGTCCAACATCACACAGCAAGTAAATTGTGAAGCCAGAAGTGAAACTCAAACCACCTAGCACTACAATGAGGTTTTAAAATTTTCACCTTTTTTTTTTAAATTGTGATTTGGGTGAAAATTTACAGAGCAAATTCTTTCCATACAGCAATTCACATACACTTTGTCTCATGACATTGACCACAAAAATTTTCATCTTCAATACTGACTTACCTGTGAATGAGAAAATTCAAATGTTTTGGCAATATAAAGTAAGTAACTTACCTCGCTGTTTTGAGGATTTTTCAATTTCCTCTTTAAGCCTGTCTAAGTCACTTTCAAAATCCTGGCTACCACAAACATCAAACAGCTTGTCTTCATAACTGGATAACTGTTCTTCCTTTCTTTTCAGCTCATTATTTATATGATTTTTATTTTGCTCAGCTGAAGCTAGTTCTTTGCTAAAGTAAGAACAAACATGTATTATAATTTTAACATACAAGAAATAAACCTAAAAAGTTTGAGTAAGTGGATTAAAGACAAATTCTGCCAAAAAAATATTACAAAGGTTTGCTATGGTCAAATATTTTCTTCAGAATTCATGGCAAGAATCCACTTCTATCTATTCTCTCCCTAGGACACTGATTCACCTGTGAACCCTGGTGACAGTCTTGCTCCCAGAAAATAGCACATAGGCAACATTCTGCCTGGCTTCTGGGGGTTCATGGTCTAGGCTCCCAGGCTGAGAACCTCTGCAAGAAGATGCTTGTTGGGTCTTCTTGAGAGAAGAGAAAAAGAGAATATTTTCCTATTTCCCTCTGGTCCATTTCACGATATTACATCCCTATCCTCCTATAAAAACCTTTTTTGTGTGTGTCCCTTCCTTGTTGTCATCTACTTACCTCGTGATCACTCATTCCCCCTTATTCATCAAGGTCTTTGCTCACTAGTACAATTTATCTCCATTTCAACCCTTAAGCATCAACCTAGACAACCACGTAGCCCACAAAGATTAGGGTTTTTCAATTTGTAGGTTTATGATGCACTAGCAATTCAGGTAATCAATTCAATGCACTGTACTCAGCATGTTTTTGAAAAAAGGAACAAAACAGAATGTAATATATTAGGTTGTACATAGTAACAATAGGGACTATTGTGAGAAATTTGTTTCAGATAAATATGTGTGTGTGTGAATGCACATCCTCTTCACCATGAGATTTTCTACTGAGGGTCACAGTAGAAATCTGGAAGAAAATAACTGATGTATATGCTACTTTCCCCATCCTAGCCTCCACTGAGCACTGTTCTCATAAAAGTCACCAACAACCTAGGTGCCAAGTACAATCTTCATCTTATTCAACTTCTTAGCAGCAGCAAATGGTCTTGACCCCATTCAAAGTGCCTCAGACACCACTCCTGTCTGGCTGATACGCTGGAGCCCTGGACATGTCCCAGTTTCTTTCACTTGCTCCTCTTCTTTGCTGCCAACATTTTAAATGTTGGTGTTTCCCAGGGATCTGACTATAACTCTCTCTTTTATCTTTGCATATCTCCCTCGAAGTGACACAGTCTATTCATTATCACTTACACAGCAACTACTGCCAATCTCATGAACTTCAAACTCCAATATTCTACTCCCTAACAGACATTTCCCTAAGAAATACAAATTTTTTAACATGGCCAATGCCAAACCTGCTCTCTTCCTCAAAAATCTGTATGATGCTTCTAACCCTCTTATGCAACCACCCTTCAAGGTGACATTAGAGAAAAATGATTACTTTTCATACAGAATTACTGCAGAAATGAAAAAACCATTTTAGATTTTAATCTTACTTAGGTCTGTAAACTTTCAAGGGACAAAAGGGCTAAATTACTATGCATTACCATTTTACTTAACTTGTAAAGAATGGAAGAAAACTAAAGTAAATTAAAAAGAATACTATTTCATGACAATATATGATTTTAAAACAACTGAAAATGAAAATATGAAATAAAAGCTTTTTATTACATTTCCAGAAAGATGTTTACCTATGTTTTACTGACTATGCAAAGGTATTCAACTCAGTGGATCATAACAAATTATAGATAACACTGTCAAGAATGAGAATTCAAACACACTTAATTATGCTCATGAGGAAACTGTACATATATCAAGAGGCAGTCATTTGAACAGAACAAGGGGATAATGTGGTTTAAAATCAAGAAAGGGGTGCATCAGGGATGTAACCTTTGAACATACTTAGGGTGAGCAGGCAATCTGAGAGCTGGACTATATGAAGATGACTGTAGCATCAGAACCAGATATTGTGATATGCAGGTGACACCATCTTGCTTGTTCAAAGTAAAGAGAACTTGAAGCACTTACCAATGAAGATCAAAGACTATAGCTTTCAGTATGGATTACACCTCAACAAAGAAAACAAAAATCCTCACAAATGGACCAATAAGCAGCTTTATGATAATTGGAGAAAAGATTGAAATTATCAAGGATTTCATTTTACTTGGATCCACAATCAATACTCATGAAAGGAGCAGTCAAGAAATCAAACAGTAACACTGCATTAGGGAAATGCGCTGCACATAATCTCCTTAAAATATGTTAAAATGCACAAATGTCACCTTGAAGACTAAGGTATACCTGACTCAAGCCATGATATTTTCAATTGCCTCACATGCACGTGAAAGCTGGAAGACCAAAGAACAACTGATGCATCTAAATTGTGATGTTGGTGAAGAATACTGAATATACCATATACTGCCAGCTCTGGTAGCATAGTGGCTAAGACACTTGCCTGCTAACCAGACGGCTGGCGGTTCAAACCCACCAGCCACTCCTCGGAAGGAAAGTTGGGCAATCCTACTTCTGTAGTGATACTGCCTCGGAAACCCAAAGAGGGGTCGCTATGAGGCGGGGCCGACTCAACGGCACATAACAACAACAACAACAATAGCCAGGAGAACGAACAAATCTGTCTTGGAAAAATGTAGCCAGAAAGCTCCTTAGAAGTGAGAATAGCCAAACTTCGTCTCTTATATTTTGGGCACGTTATCAGGAGGGACTACTCCCTGGAGAAGGATACAGCGGTTGGCAGAAAGTCAGAGAAAAAGAGGAAGACCCTAAATAAGATGGACTGACACAGTGGCTGCAACAATGGACTCAAGCATAGCAACAATCGTGAGGATGGTGCAGGACAGGGCAGTGTTTCATTCTGTTGTACACAGGGTTTCTATCAGCTGGAAGCAACTCGATGGCATCTAACAACAACAGTTATATCTCTAAATGTTGCAATTACTTACTTTAATTTGGCAAGCCTGTCCCTGGTCTGATTAATTTCTTTTGATTTACTATGAAGCCAGTCTTCAAGCTGTTTTTTGTTGGGAAAATATCCCAATAATGAAGTTAATTCATCACTGTGTCTAGATTTTATTTTTCTGATTTGTTCATCTTTGTCAGCCTGCAGGTAAAAAAGATCTTTTAAAAATAAAGTCTGATATCTCCACAATATATCAGGAACAAAGACAAATTCTAGATTGATTAAAATTCTAGGCTTAAGAAATAAAATTCTAAAAATGCAAGGAAATATAAAGTCATACTTTGTCTTTGGTCAGCATCTCCATCTGGGTACGTGTTGTGGTATGATGGTTTAACTGCTCCATCTCCTGGTCCAATTTACGCAAAGTCCTGTCTAGGTCTACTTTCTCATTCTGAAGGCTCATGACTTCAGTTTTTAGGGTTTCTACACTGCTGTTTTTCTCAGCCTTGCTTAGCTCACGTTCCTAATTAATTATTCAAACAAATACACAAGTTTATTCATTTTGTGTAAGAATTAAGATAAAGACAAAATGCATTATCAGAAATCAACCACTCCTTAAAATAGTCAAAATATTGTTTGCTTTTACCCAATTAGAGAAAAAAAATGCAATGAGCTATATATACTTTAAGGGAAATCTAAAGGTGGAAGTTGAGAAGGGGATTTGTCAATTTTTACGGTGACTACTTAGGTGGTAGGAGCTCTGGTAGCATAGTGCATAAGGCACTTGACTGCTAACCAGAAGGCTAGTGGTTCAAACCCACCAGCCACTCCTCAGAAGGAAGGTTGGGCAATCCTACTTCCGTAGTGATACTGCCTCAGAAACCCAAGAAGGGGTAGCTATGAGTCGGGGCCAACTCGACGGCAAACAACAACAACAACTACTTAGGTGGTAGAGATGTGAGGGGAGGGGACAGAAGAACAAGGAAGAAGAGAAAACTTGGAAATTCTTAAAAAAGAAGAGACAGGACAAGAAAGTTTCTACTACAGAAAAAATAATGGCATGACAATAATCATATGAAATCTACAGTGTATAGAACCTCAAGGGAAAATACCTGCTTTTTTTTACTTATGCAAGTGGTTCTTAAACAAGATGTTCATAGCACAGATATTCTTAAAAAGCTCCCTGTTGTTTGCCATTGAGTCAGACCCGACTCATAGCAACCCCTCCTTGGGTTTCTGAGGTGGTATCACTATGAAAGTAGATTGCCCAACCTTCCTACTGAGGAGTGGCTAGTGGGTTTGAACTGCCAGCCTTCTGGTTAGCAGTCAAGTGCCTTGGGCTCTACGCTATCAGAGCTCCCAAAAAGCTCCCTAGGAGATTCAAATGTACAAATCATCAGGTTCAAGAACTAAAAAGTTATATGACCAAGATATTCAGTTGACTTCATTTAATATGAGAATGATAAACAAGACTGACATTTTTATTAAAATGCCATCATCCTAAGATTAGCAATACATAAAATACTTCAGAAGGATTCTAAATATCTTAATCTTAATATTGTTAGTCAAATAATATCTTACAGCTTTTGTGAGTTCCTGGTCCAGTTCAAGAATCCTGTCTGAAGATCCTTCCAACTGCTGTAATTCATATTTCACATTTTTAAGCTCATTCTGCTTCTTACTTAGGATTTCTGATTTCAGCTCAATTATTCTTCCCAGTCCAGTTTTCTTATCCCTTATCTCATCTATCTGCTTTTGCTTCAGAGACTCTTTTTCTGCAAAGTCATTCTAAATACACAAATAATTGAGAACATTTACAGTTTTTTGTAAAATTTATTAAGAAAATTTTTTTCATTGTAAAAACACATGTCCACTAAGTAAAATTCAGAAAAGTATAAAAACAAAAGTAACAATCATCACCCAGAGAAGGAATTTATTAACTTAGAGCAAATATTTCCTTTGTAATTAGCTTTAGAAAATTTATTTAAAAATCAAATTAAAAGTATCGATCTGTATTTTTTTCATATTTTTATCCTTATAACCTAAAAATTGTGCTTCCATAAATGTTTTTATTCCTAGTTAATGGCAGATTCTATCATTAATCTAAAAACATGCCAAAATAGAGTCCATCTGAAAATTAAACCAATTCAACTATAGAACGTGACAGCAACAAAAGAAACATTTCAATATACTTACCATCAACTGGTTAGCAGTTTCTGCTTCCCTTTCTTGTCTTTCCCTTACAAGTTTGTGAAAATTTTTAATCTGCCTTTCACTGAATGGTCCACGCTCAAAGCCATCCAATTCTAGGTGTGCTGCCAAAGACTGAATTAATGAATCTCTAGCTCGGATATGTTCTTGATGGCGATCTGCTTGTAGCTGTAGACGACCTTTAAAAATCATGACCACAAAACCCTCTTTATCATTAGCCAATTTTTTAAAACTGAAATAATTATAGATTCACATACAGTTTTAAGAAATAATATAAAGATCTCATGTATACTTTGCCCAGTTTCCCTCAAGATTAACATTACAGGATAATATCACAACCAGGATATTAACATAAAATCCACCAATCTTAACCAGTTTCCCTAGTTTTATATGTACTCATGCATGTGTATTAAGTTCTATACCATTTTATCAAGTGCCAAGGTTCATATACCCACATGGCAGTCAAGATACTGATTTCAATACTGTGATACTTTTATTGACTTTTCTTATCATAACTATATTCACCTCTCTCCTTTCCAACCCCAATACCTCTGTTGTTGTTGTTGCTGTTATGTGCCATCGAATCGGACCCAACTCATAGCGACCCCTCCTTGGGTTTCCGAGACAGTATCACTACGGAAGTAGATTGCCCCATCTTCCTTCCGAGGAGTGGCTGGTGGGTTTGAACCACCTGCCTTCTGGTTAGCAGTCAAATGCCTTAGGCACTACACTACCAGAGCTCCTCCCAATACCTCTGGCAACCACTTATTTGTCCTCCCCATTTTTAAACTCTTCTTTCAAAATGTTATATAAATGGAATAATCCTGTATGTAACCTTTTTCACATATCCAGCAGACTTCCCTGGATATTCATCATTTATTCAGAAAATGCATAATTATACTAGCAGGAAAAAAAGGCCAGTCAAACTCTGTCTCACCCTGTTCAACAAGTAGTTCTGATTTTTCTTGATTGAGCAGCCTACATTCTTTATTTAATTTTTCCAGTTCACGCTGACAGTCTACCAGTCTCCTCTCTTTCTCTCTTACTGTCCGCTGGTGATTGTGATATAAATCATTTAGCTGCTCATCAGTCCCTTGAAAAACCTGTATAAAATAATTAAAAAAAAAACCTTTAATGTATAGATATAAGAAAATATGGTCTTTTGATGTAGGAAATATAAACCAAAGTTTATTAATTATCTTTAATTTTAGTACATACAAACAAGTAACATAAACATTAATATTTGTATTTCTTTCTTGAAAATGTGGGTAGTAAATATGAGGTTCATTATAGTAACTCTAAATTTTTGAAGAATAAATTTCTACTACCACAAACCTTTTCCATTTTCTGCTCCAGTTCACTATTATCTTTCTCCATTTGTTTCTTTCTGCTCTCCAAGGCTTTAATTTCATTGTCAAGTCTCATTATTTTAGAGAGATTTTGCTCAATTTCTCTTAGACGATTCTGAAAATGAATAAACATTTTGCATAAATAAAATTCACTTTAGTTTATACTACAAGCTCTGGTAGCGTAGTGCCTAAGGCACGTGACTGCTAACCAGAGAGCTGGTGGTTCAAACTCACCAGCCACTTCTTGGAAGGAAGAGTGGGCTATCTACTTCTGTGGTGATACCGCTTTGGAAACCCAAGGAGGGGTCTCTATGAGTAGGATCCGACTCAACAGCACATAACAACAACATAGTTTACACTGGGAGCTCTGGTGGCATAGTGCCCAAGGCACCTGACTGCTAACCAGCAAGCTGGTGGTTCAAACCCACCAGCCACTCCTCAGAAGAAAGATTGGGTGATCTACTTCCATAGTGATACTGCCTTGGAGACCTAAGGAGGGGTCGCTATGAGTTGGAGATGACTCAACTGCATATAACAACAACAACATAATTTACACTGGGAGCTGTGGCGGCATAGTGCCTAAGGCAAGGCTGGCGGTTCAAACCAACCAGCCACTCCTCAAAAGGAAGATTGGGCAATCTACTTCCATAGTGATACTGCCTCAAAAACCCAAGGCGGGGTTGCTTGGAGTCAGATCCTACTCGACGTCAGTGAGTTTGGTTTGGTTTTTGCCATTGAGTTGATTCTTACCCACAGCGACCCTCACTGGATTTCCAAGACTGTAAAACTTTATGGAAGTAGACTGCCTCATTTTTCTCCAGTGAAGCAGCTAGTGGGTTTGAACCACTGACCTTCTGGATAGAAGCCAGATGTCTTAACATACTATGCCAGAAGAGCTTCTTCTATTAAAGAAAAGCAGGAATTAATTCTAGTTCTAACTCCAAAACCCATGTCCTGCCCTCACCACTTCCCACAAGTGTTGCATTCCATGGTCACTTAACGCCAGCCACATTATGTAAAGAATCACATTTTAAGAAATCCTTAAAAAGACTTGAATTTACTTGAAAGATTAGAATCATTAAGTAGGCTAGAAATTCATAGTGGTTTACTAGTACATTCTGGGCCTACAGGCAAATTTCTACATCTTAATCCAAAGTTTACTCGAGCACAGTGGACTCTGAACAAGTGAAGCATGATGAGCTATTTCAGCTGCTTGTTTTCTCAGGCAGCAACAGGTGGATGCCTCATCTCCTAGGATTACATGTTAACTGGTTCAGGGTGTTCTTTCCTGGATGATGTTGGGGATATTCTTCTAGCGTGTTCTGGTTACCTAGTGCCACTCTGACAAAAATATAGCACCAGTGGGATGACCTTAACAAAGAGGAGTTTATTCTTACAATTTGGAGGCTTTAAGTCCAAGTTCAAAGTGCTAGGCTCTAGGGACTGGGGGAAAAGCCCCTTAACCTTGAGCTTCAGCTCTGCCTCTTGCTCCCAGCCCACTGAAGCTAGAGGCTTTTCTTCACTCAGACACTGCTGGCTGCTGAGGCTAACAAGCCCAAGGTCAACAAATAAAATGGCATAGTCCCAATGTCACCAAACCACATGGCAGACCGTTCATTCAAGTCCATTTTAAATTCCAAGGTCGGTAGAGCATGGCAGGCTGCTGAACAACAACATGGCCGCATGCAGGGTCCAATCCTGCCATAAGCTAGAGACCACTCCCAAAGCTGCTTCTTATATATGGGAATCAGACCACATACCCAAAGCAGCTACTCAGCTGCTTGTGGTAGATTCCACCATGGAGTTGACTGCCAGTATCATCCTGGGGAATAACTACCACCAGATGCCCAGCCACTCAACCAGGCCCAGCCAAGCTGACACACAAACATAAACATCACATAGTGTTTGCCTCTATGATTCTTTTGATGTTTCCAAGGCTGATCAACTACCTTTCTGAGACATTTTGAGAATCTAATTTTTTTTTAAATTTTTATTGTTATGTGGGTGAAAGTTTACAAAGCAAATTCACTTTCCATACAGCAGTTCACATATACTTTGTCTCATGACATTGACTACAATTTCCTACAATGCAACAGCTCCCCTCCCACTTCCTTGCGATAAGTTACCTCTTCCTGTCCTTCTCTCCCATGTACTCCTGCCCCTAAGCTGTCTCCCTGTACATAAACAACCCTTCTATTCTCCCATGACTGATCTCTCTAAGAAGTGTATCTACTTAATGTAAATGTTCAGCTCATATACCTCTCTTTTGTTTGGCTGGAAGCCACAGGTATGGGTTAAATACCAGACCTGAAGGGACAGTAAGGGACCATAGTCTCAGGGGTTCCACCAGGCTCTATCAGACCAGCAAATCTGGTCCTCTCCCCCATGCCTTTTTTTTTTTAAATATATGATTTTAAGTTTTGTTCCACATTGTTCTCCCACTTTATCCAGGATCTCCTACATAGATCCCCCTCCAAGTGATTGACACTGACAGCTAGGCATCATCTAGTTCTGGTCTTATAGTCATATAGGCTGAGGATGGCATGGTGTACCAGTCACTAGGACTAATTGTTTCCAAGTGTCTTTGGTTTTCTTCATTCTTCTTTGCTCTGGACGAGGAGAGACCCATCACTGCATCTAGATGGCTGCTTGCAAGCTTTTAAGATCCCAGTCACTACTCACCGAAGTAGGATGTGGAGCAATGTTTTTGTGTAGTATATTATGCCAATTGAGCTTGATGTCCCCTGTGACTATGGTCCCAAGCCCACAGGTCCAACTATTCACTCCCTCGGGGTAGGTGGCAGGAGCTCTGGTAGCATAGTGCCTAAGGCATTTGACTGCTAACCAGAAGGCTCACGGTTCAAACCCACCACCTACTCCTTGGAAGGAAGGTTGGGCAATCTACTTCCATAGTGATACCACTTTGGAAACCCAAGGAGGGGTCGCTATGAGAATACGACTCTATGGCAGTGGGTTTGGGTAGCTGGCTATGGTCAAGAAGTGACTACAACCATGTCCCTTAGCTCTACCATATACTTGGGAATTCTTATAGAACATACAAATACACTTGTAGAAACACTGTCTGCCAACCCTATACATGTCATGGGCATACTCCCCCCTGCATAGACATAACTAATAGTTCAGCCTGTCTACCCATCTATTCACCCATATATCAATGTTTGCCATCACTGACAACACAGTAGGGTATGTGCAAAAGGGTTCATCTTTGTTGTCTGTACCCCCTATGCACCTCTCTCTGTCTTCTTCTTCCTCAATGCCACATCTGGTACAATGCCCTTCTCTCCACTCAAATCAATACTTGTCTCTACCTATGTAACAGTGTCCCCTCCCCTCCCTCCCACCCCGGTAACCAACAAAGAAAATTTCCTTCCATATATAAATAAACCTTTCCTTGACTTTTTACAATAATGGACTAATCTATATTTGTTCTTCTGTGATTGACTTATTTCACTCAGTATAATGTCCTCTAAGTTCATCAATATTATGCACTGAGTCTATGTTATTCTTTAGGGTTGCATAGTGAGAATCTAATTTTTAAACTAGCATATTATACTTAAGAAATACTTAAGGTAGTTATATTTTAAGGACTGCATTCAATATCATGAAACAAAACATGTATAAACAGTTGAATGGAAAGCCAATTTGCTCTTTAAACTTTCATTCAAATCACCATAAAAGACTTAAGATACCAGTGTGCTTAGATAGTAACTGCAAACTTTCATAGCTGCACCAAAAATGCATCCTTAATTTTAATGAATTTAAAATTAGATTTTAAATAAAATGGGCATACTAATACCATTCCTTGTGATTTGTGATAATGAACATCAGGAAGTCACCATAAAAACAGGAATTTTGTTTACTTTGTTCACTAATATATTCTCAGCACATTAACAGGTGTTCAATAAATGCTAGCACAATGAAAGAAAGAGAGATTTGAAAATATTAATTTTGCCAGTCATAGCAATCACTGATTACCTACTATGTGCCAGACACTGTACTGGGTGCTGACATAATAATCTCTCTAATCCTTACAAGAACCTCATGCTAAGTAGGAAACTCAGAAGACTTAAAATGACTTGTACAAAACCACATATTCAAGACTGGGAGGCAGGTGGCAAAATGGTTAAGGGTGCTGGAACAACTGTACATCTGTATGCAAAAAAAAGTAAATCTCAACATCTACCTCATACCATATTAAAAAATTAAACTAAAATGGAATTTGGACTTAAATGTAAAAACTAAAGCTATAACAAGTCTAAAAGGAAAAAACAACAGAAATTTTTTGTGACCTTGGATTAGGCAAAGTTTTCTTAGGAAACAAAAAGTATAAACTGTAAGAGGGGAAAAAACCCCAGATAAATTAGACTTCATCAAAATAAAAAAACTTGTGCTCTGTGAAAAACAATTAAGAACTCTCATAACTAGATAGTAAAAAGACAAACAACACAATTAAAGAACAGGCAAAGAAAAGGAATAGACATTTCTCTAAAGAAGAAACACACATGACCAATAAACACATGAAAAGATGCTCAACATCATTACCTATCAAGAAAACATGAACTGAAACCACAATGAGATAACACTCACACCCACTGGGATCCATATAAATCAAAAAGAAAATAACAAGTATAAGTGGGGATGTGGAGAAATTGAAATTGTCATATATTCTGGTGAGAATGTAAAATGGGGCAGCCACTCTGGAAAACAGTTTGGCAATTTTTCAAAAGGTTAAAAATAGAATTATTGGTTCTACAAGTGTATTTGTATGTTCTTAAGAATCCAGGTGTATAGTAGAGCTGACAAGGGACAAGGCTTGTGATAGTTGAAGATGTGTCAACTTGGCTGGACTCCAGTTGTGAGTGGTGGTTCCCATGATAGATCACATGACTGCGTTCTAAGCGGCCGGTCGGCCTAGGGGGAGTTTCCCCAGGGGTGTGGCCTACCTGCAAT